ATTCCGGAGCTAGGGGCTGGGCGGGGATATCTGGCTTCCTTCGGTCCCTCTTTTTAAAAAGGTTGTTTTGAAATATCCATTCAGTGAACGCTTCCCCAGGACTGGCTAAAGACGTCTGTGTCGCCTTTGGGGACAAGGAGAATTCAAAGCCACGATTAGATTAGATCCCCAGCAACATCCCAGGAAGTGGGTCTTATCTCCAGTTTGTTCAAAACAATGGAAACTAAGGCTCCGAGAGTCTCAGTAGCTTTCCAGAGGTCCCACAGCCAGTATCAGAGTCAGAATTTGAACCCAGGCCAGACAGAACCTCTGAGTCGCCAGCCCTTCCTGGTGACCCTGATTGGATGAGCTTGAGTCTCTGGCTGGATCGTAGGCTCAGTCCAGAGCTCAGCTTGTAATGCCTGGGTCCTTAGGCAGCCCTGTGTCAGGGTTGGGTGGCCACGAGCCTGGTGGGATTTAAGGCTGGAGAGAGCCCAGATCAGGGCGCAAACGGAAGCCCCAGCACCAGACCACCAGGACTTCCCTTCCCAACTCCGGCCAGTGGGAGGGTCTCACACACACATCGGACACCAGCCTGCTCGGCCAAGCTCAGTCCGTGCCAACGCCCTCCATGGCCACCCCTTGACCCCTGGGGCCTGGGGGTGCTCATGGGGATGGCAGGTTTCTCCTGGGAGAAAGGACCTCAGATGGACTCTGGGAAAGGATGCCCCGGCCTTGGAGTCGACTCAAGACTGTTGGAGGAGGGGATTCGGGATTCTGGCTTCCAGGGCGTGGACAGGACAGGCACGAGCTCCCCGGGGGCACATCCCTCTGGCCTGGGGAGATTCTTCCCCCTCCGGAAAGGGTCATGATATGCCGGCCGATGCCCTGGTCACTGTGTCTGTGGGGGTGACGTGATCCTAGTTACACTGTTTATTCATGACTGTAGGACACAGCTGCATGACTCCAAGTTGTGTGTGTGACGCCACCTATCTGTGTCTCGTGACACAGTCTGGGTGGCCTGGGCATGTCGCACGACACTGTCCACGTCCTGTGTCACTGTCTGCATGACCTGTGCATGTCTGTGTGACACTATCTCTCTGTTTCTTACGACCTGTTGGGTAACTTTGTAGTGCCCAGGAGGTGCTTCCCCCTGAGAGGGGCAGTATTAGAGGAGAAGGAACTTGGGACAGGATCTGTGAGCCTGACACTGATCCCTGGCTCTGTGACCGCAGAGATGTTATTGAATTCTCTGGGCTGAGACCGGAGATGACCTGAGAAGGGGCCAGATGGTTTGGGAGGGCAGCGGCGGCAGCAGGTAGCCTAGGTGGCGCGAAGCTATGCCGTGTTCCGAGCGCAGCCGCTGCCACCACTGGCGACAATGCAAAGGGCAACTCTGTCTCGGCACAGGCCCTGGGTCAGCGCTTGCATGCAGTTTCCTTGGAGGCAGGCTTTTCTTTTCTTTTATTCTGACTTTGCAGATGTGGAAACAGGCTCAGAGAGAGCAAACGACTTGCTCAAGGCCACACAGCATGAGCCTAATGGAGTTAGGACCAGATCCGTACCCAGAACAACCGCTGCATCCCTGTCATTGTCTCCAGTACAGATGAGGCATGACGGGAATGATTTCCCTTTTTACAGGGGGGCAGGGGGCGGGCAGAACGGAGGCTCAAAGCGGGCATGTGAGGTTCTGGGGTCTCCGGGCTCACTAGCCAGAGCTCTCTGCCAGCCCGCCCTGCTCTCTCTACCATTCTGAGTGCAAATCATGAGGCTGGGGCGGGGGAGGGCCGGGCAGGCGAAGAGAAAGAGCCCGTCTGGGACAAAGGGCTGCTGTGGCCACACAATGGTGACAGCCCAAGCCCGATGTCGGGCGCTGGGCTTCAGGAGCAGCTTGGAGCCCACCTGCAGCCTCCTGCAGACAAGGGGCAGCCTGTGCCGCAGGGAGGGGCACAACAGGCACCCTGTGTTTGGGGGCCTGCCCCTGCCTGCTCCACTCTGGGGACGAGAGATGGCCGTGGGAGCCAGTGCTCCGCTTAGGAGGGTCTGGGTGACGGGAGCCCACCCACATGGTAGGATTTGGATGGTCTCTCTCTCCTGGCCCCACTACTTCACCCTAGGTGTCCTGTAGCCATTCCTAAAAGTGTATAACTAGCTCTCTATTCCCTTGACTTTGGGCAAGCAACTTAAACACTTCAGAGCCTCAGTTTCTCCATCTGTAAAATGGAGACGATAGCTCTTGGTTGGCAGAGGTGCTATGAGAATTCCATGAGAGACCTAAGCTGATAGGTAGTAATGGCTTGAGATGCAATAGTTTGCTTGTTTTTTTTTTTCTGAATGGTTGGTGGATGGATGGATCAACAGATGAGTTGGAGGATGGGTGGGTGGGGGGATGAGTATGAGATGAGGGTCTGGGTAGCAGGTGGAAAGAGGGCTGAAGATGGGAGGAGGAATGGTGGCTGGTGTAGGCAGGGAAGGCTTCCAGGAGGAGGCAAGCTGCAGATGAGCAGAGAGAAGGATGCTGCGTGCTCCCCAAGGGCAGGCCGTGTGCATCTCTCAGCTCTGAACTCCCAGCTCCTGGCCTGAGTTCCCACACGGAGCAGGTGCTCAGGGACCCCTCTGCCCGGATCCCACACCTGTGCTGATCCAGGCCCCAGGGCGTTCTGTCCCTCATCAGCCTCTTCCAGTGGACAGGATGAGGGCTCCAGTCCTTCTCCATTCTTGGTGCAGGGGCCAAAGGCAGGAGACTTGGAGTCAGCTGGCCCTGGGTTTGAGTTCTAGCTCTGCCGCAGACCAGCTGTGTGACGTCAGGCCTGGCCCTTTCCCTCTCTGAGGCTCGGCTTCTCCGACTCTGTAAACTAAGCATCCTCGTCCTGACCCCTTGCTGGTATTGAGGGTGGTGCAACAGATGATGGAGCTGGAAGCCCTGACACACAGTAGGTGCACAGTAATGAGTCTGGCTGAAGCGTGGGGCAGGGGGGAGACAGGATGGCAGTGAGGGGGGCCCAGACACCCCCCTCAGGCCTGACCTGTGGCCTCATGAATTCTCATGTACCCCAACTCCCACCCTCGGCCCCTGAATCCCGAAGGGGCCGACAGAACAGTTCATAATTTAAAGAGAACAAGTGAGAGACTTACAAACCACAGCTGCCTCTTAATGGAATTACTGAAAAGGGCTTTTTAATTAAAAGCAAGAAGTTGGGGACAGGTTCATGTCCATAATTCAGGGCCCCAGCACAGTGGCTGCCCATGGTTTCATTTCCCTCTATTTACGTCTCTCTCTTGGCGTGATCTACGTTGTGAAACTCCTGCATGAAAAATGGGCCTGGCTTTTCCGGTGGACAGCGGTAAATATTTACCTGGCCCGACACAGGCCCCCCTGTCAGGGGGAGCTTAGGGGCTTTTAAATGCAGCTTAAGACATCCCAGAGATGACTCAGTCAGATTTAGCCTCGCCTTTCCGTCCGCTATGATTAAGGCTCACAGGGCACAGGAGAGGAGGAGTTGGGGGGACCCTCGCTATTTGGGGCCTTGGACACCCTCCTTTGTGGAGTATCAGGCACCGGGCCTGAGAAAGGCCAACAGGACAGGGCAGGTGGCCTGGAGTTGACTCTGCCTCTGGGAAGCGGATACTCGGAGGCCAGGCCTGGCCCTGTTGCCCCCCTCCCCTCTTCCCTTCCCAGCCCCCTCTTCACAGAGCGGGGGGGGGGGGGGGGGGCGTCCTGCATTCCTCCCTCCCTCCATCCTCCCTTTTCCCCTCTGAATATGCTACGCTCTCTTGAGTCTCCAGGCCTGCACATCCGATGCTCCCTCTGCCTGAAATACTTTTTGGCCCCAAGACACTTTATTTCTTCTCCTGAACTGGGTTAGGGCCCTGGCCCTCTGTTTGACCCAGTTGCAACTGGGCCGTCCTTTCTGCCTACTTGTCAGCCCCCCCCCCCCCATTGGTGGCTTTCTGGAGTTGGGGCATGTTTCTTGCTCCCACAGAGATGCCAGCTCCATCAAAGGGCCTGGAATGAATTTTGACTGGCAGCAAGGGTCGGGGTTGGTCTCCCCTGTGATACTTCCTGGGCTGGGCCATGTGGCTGTCATGGGGCTTCCGAAGGCCCAGGGGACCCCCACCCCCCGAGCTGCACTCTCCCTGCAGTGCAGGGGCTCAGAGTTGGCCACAGAGACTTACTCACCAGTATAGGCTGGTTTTTGTTTTCTGCAACAACTTCAGTGAGATGTAATTCACAGTCCATGTAATTCACACATTTGAAATGGATCACTCAGTGGCTTTTAGTATATTCAGAGTTTTGCAACCAGCACTGCAATTTTAGAACACTTCCATCATTTTCCTCCAAAAGGAAACCCCCTTCTCATTAGCATCCCCCCAACACACACACACACACACACACACAGCCCCTGGCAACCACTAATCTTTCTGTCTCATGGGTTTGTCTGTTCTGAGCATTTTATATGAATGGAATCACTCTGTGTGGGCTTTCGCGTCTGGCTTCTTTCACTTAGCGTGATGTTTTCGGAGTTTTTGCAGCATGTCTCACAGCTTTCTCCTTTGTAAAGCTGAATGATATTCCAGCGTATGGATGAACCACGTTTCGTTTATTCATTCCTCTGGTGACGTACATGAGCCGTCCACTTTAGAGGCCATTTGGAATAAGGTTGCAGTGAGCGTTCACTTATTAGGCTGGCTGTGGACGTATGTTTTCATTTCTCGAGGTAGACACCGAGGAGGGGAATTGCTGGGTCACATGCTCGTGTTTCGTGATGGCATTTTGGCGGTTTTCCTGGTTGGTGTGGGCGGGGCCTGTGCTGACAGACGGTGCCTGGGGTGGGAGGTGGGGGGAACAGTAGAGAAAGCAGCATTTCTGGGCCGCATGGCGCCTGGGCAAGTTGCCCCATCTCTGAACCTTGGCCTCCCCATCTGCCAATCAGGGACAACCTCCCAGAGCTGCTGGGGACCCACCTGAAAGGTCAAGGCTAGAGGGAGATGCACTAGGAATTTCTCTCCTTCCCTGGCAGTGCTGTGTCAGCCGCGAAACCCGCCGTTCCTGCCTGCAGGGTTGGAGTGAGAGGAGTCCAGCCGTCTGCGCACCGACTCTGTGGCCCTGGGAAGGAGCAGTTGTAAGGCACCCATTTTACAGGTGAGGAAACCGAGGCCTTGGGAAGCAAGGTTTCTTGCGGAGGTCACAGAGCCAGCCTGCAGTCTGTCAGATTGAGTCCCCTCCCTCAACCTGCTCCGAGCCTGGTCCTGTCTCCTCCTGGCTGCATGTATGAGAAGAAGAACAAGAAGCCAGATTCTGTGTGTGGGTGTCCGTCCTGCAAGGGCTGGGAATTTGTCCCTATTGTGCTTCAGTGTGGCCCCAGTTGAGAAATCAGCTGACAGTCTTATGGGAGCTCCCTGCTAGGTAGCTAACTGCTTTTTCTCTTGCTGCTCTTAAGAGTCTCCCTTTGTCTTTAACCTTTGGCATTTTGATTAGGCCCTGGCACAGAGCGGGTGCTCATAATTTTGCTGAAAGGGGGCATGACGAGGTGACTAAGGTTCCTCATCTGTGGGATGGGGGTCACAGCTGGTCCCTGGTGTTGGTAAAAGCCCAGGGCGCCTGGCCCGAGCTGCTCAGATGGAGTTCCTGCTTCTCTCTCATTCCCCATGGGCATGGTGTTGTGGGGGAGACCAGCCACCGCCCCAGGTCTGGGGTGACAGTCACAGTCGGTGACAGTTCCTAGCAGAGTTTGTGAGGGCACCTGGCCCTCTCCTACTGCCCTGTGCGTCTTCCCAGCCTCGATGCTGTCAATCAGCCCCCGCACACCTAACTGCGGCCCACAGCCCCGCCCGTCCAGGGGTGCCACGCAAGCGTCTCCTCTGCACAGAGATGCCCCCACTCATTTTCCACCTGATAGGGCCAACTAATGGTGTCAGGAGGTCCTCTCACCTGTGATTTTATGATGACAGCTGGATGTTAAAAGTCCAGTTATTAGGTGTTCAGCATCCCCCTTGCTCTCCCAGAAATGAGAGCACAGGGAAGGGTGTCCACAAGGTGGGGGTGCTCGGAGGCCTGCCTCAGAGGGGGCCATGGCTTCTCCCCCCCAACCCCCAGGGACTGCTCCACCAGGGACTGGCCCCCGCCCTCTGTGGGCTGTGGGCTGTGGGCTAGTGGGGGGGGGGGTGCAAAGCCTCCCCATCCCCAACCGCTGGCCTTTCCCTACACCAGCTCACACAGCCCTCACAGACAGCGTGGTTGATTGTGGCGCTGAAATTCCCCTGGGGCTGCAAGACCCAGAGCCCATGCTTTGTCAGCCTCGGTGACAGGTCACGGCTGTTACTGTGTCATTATTATTGTCAACGTCCCTACACAGGCACTTTGCAGATTGCTGCCCTGGTCAAGGAGTGGGAGGGAAGGGTCTGGGTCCCGGCCCCTATCTGCTGCGGTGGCCCGGTGACCTCGGCAAACCCCACCCCTCTGGGGCTTGAATTGTCATCTGCACAGTGGCCCTGGCCCAGGCCCAGCTAGGAGCCGGTTACCTGTTGTGCCTGTCACAGGCAGGGGACCTGGGACAGGTGACTTAAACCCTCAGAACCTCCATTCCCTCATCTGCAAAACGGGAGCAAAATAGCTGTTCCCCAGCTGGGTTGCAGGGAGGTTGTGTCAGGGTCGTGTGTACAGGGCCAGACTCAGAGCAGGGCCCCGAAAATAGGAGCAAATGTTTCCTTCAGCCTCGAGGCCCCTTGTGGGAGCCCAGGGAGGTGAAGGGGGAGCAGGGAATGAAACCACGGGGGACCCTGGCGCAGAGGTCGGGCAGGGCTGGTGCTCCTCCCCCACGGCCCCCTCGCCCGCGACAACCACACAGGTGTGTGTGCGTGGAGGGGTGGTCCACACATGTCACCAACGCTGCGGCGGAGCCACCGTTTGTGTCATTTTCTAATCTGCCAGGAGGAATCAAAGGCTCTGACGGGCCTGTTAGCGCCCATTCTCCGGGGATCACTCCGACAATTTCCCTGGCGCTGCGCGACAATGGGCCCTAATTAAGGTGTCAGCATATCATTTAGCCTTTTCAGCGCACAGCCCAGAGACAGGCTGGGCGATCTTCAGCCTCTTTAATGAGAGATGCGCAGAGACAGTGGGAGGGCGGGGGGCAGAGAGGTGTGCACAGGAGCGAGAGGTGGGAGTACAACCTGCAGAGGCGTCACCGGCCCAAGGGGCCAGACCCACCCTGCAGGCAGGTGGGTGATTGAGTGGCAGAGGTGGGCAGGAAACGAGACGTCCTGGGTGGTGGAGCGGGGCACGGAGGAGCACAGACACGCTGCGAGCCTCGGCCAAGCCCTCGTGAGGCTGCTCGGCCATGACCTGCCCAGCTTCCCTCTCCTTTCTCCACGGTGAGCTCCTTGAAGACAGGGGCTACGCTTGTCACCTTTGTCTCTGTGTCTCCAGTTCCCCGGGACAGAGCTTGGCAGAGAGTAGAGCTTAATAAATGCTTTAAAGATGCAAGAAAGCCCTGGCTGCTGTGGCTCGGTGGATTGAGCGCTGGACTGCGAAGCAGAGGGTCGCTGGTTCGATTCCCAGTCAGGGCACGTGCCCGGGTTGCAGGCCAGGTTCCCAGGTGTGGGGAGCCCAAGAAGCAACCACACATTGATGTTTCTCTCCCTCTTTCTTCATCCCTTCCCCTCTGTCTAAAAATAAATAAATAAAATCTTTTAAAAAAGATGCAAGAGAGAATGCAGAGAGAGACAGACAACGTAAGAGGTAACTGGAGGCCAACATTTCATAGGACAAGGAATCCCCATCATACCACTGTCATCCTGCATGAGAGCTGATAGAAGCCTGAGAGCCAGGCGCAGAGAAGATGTGTGCACGCTGTGGGTTGAATTGTGTCTCCCCTCCCACCAACCCAAAAGAGGAAACGTGAAGCCCTACCCCTACTACCTGTTCACCTGACCTTACCTGGAACCAGTCTTTGCAGGTGCAGCCAAGTCAAGATGAGGTCACCAGGGTGGGCCCTAATCCACCCTGAGCGTCATTCTCGCAAGAGGAGAAACACAGGAAAGGCCACGTGGTAACTGAGGCGGAGACGGGAGGGATGCAGCTGTAAGCCCAGCAATGCCACGGACTGCCACCTGCTCCAGAAGCTGGAAGAAGCGAGGAAGGGTTCCACCCAGTGTCTCGGAAGGAGGGTGGCTCTGCTGATGTGTTGACTTTGGACTTCTGATCTCCAGGACTGGGAGAGAACACGTGTCTGTTATTTTAAGCCTCCGAGTTGTGGTGCTTGGTACAGAAGGCCTAGAAAACTGAGATAGTGTGTGTACACAGATGTGAGTGTGAAAGAAGGAAGAATGATGAGAGAGGAGAAATGGAGGTGCAGAAACACAGTGGGTGCAGTGCACGGAACGGGGAGACCTGAGGCTTCAGCACAGTCTGGCCTAGGACGCTTACTGTGTTCAGAGACTCTTGTCTTCAGCAAAACATCTCCACAGCCATCATCACCACCACCATCATTACCATCATCATCACACCATCATCACCACCATCACCATCATCACCATCACCATCATCGCCATCATCATCACATCATCATCATCACACCATCATCAGTATCATCACCACCACCATCATCACCACCATCACCATCACACCATTATCACCATCATCACCAGCACCAGCACCACCATCATCATCACCATTGTCACCACCATCATCATCACCATTGTCACCACCAGCATCATCACCATTGTCACCACCAGCATCATCACCCTGACCACCACTGTGCGTGGAGGAGAAGCAAGGGCAGGGAAGAGCAGAGCCCCGGGGAACACCGCATGCAAGGGACCAACAGAAGAGGAGGAGGCTGCACATGCCGAAAACCAACCAGCGTGTTCAGGGAGGACTCCTGAGCTGGTGTGGACGAGGGAGGAGGCGTGGGGAAGCGTGGGCAGCAGGCTCGGTGGCACACAGCCTCTGGCCTGTGCCCCTCCCCCATGTCCTCTTAGCCCTCGGTCCTGCCTCACTTTCCTCCACCCCCAGGAGGTGCCCCGCTGCCACTCCTCCCCCTTGCAAAGCCTGTCCCTTCCGTGTCCACAGCTCGGAACACCTGACTCCCCTGTCTGGGAAAAGAACACATTTTAGCAGGAGCTACCAAGCACAGCGACGCGAACGTCAGGGTTTCGGGCACGTGTGGGCCCAGCTTCTGCCCTCCCACCCGCCCCACGCCCACCCGGGGTTCTGCAGGAAACAGACTGCGGCGTGGCGGTTCCAGATGTGACTGTTAGAGCTAATTTATGCTCTGTTCACACAGGCTCCAGATGTCACGGCCCCTCTGTGGATTTACCCCAATGCCAGGGAAGGAGGGGGGCAGGGAAGGGGGTGTGGCTGCAGCGCCCCCCCACCTGCCTCCTTTTCCTAGCCCAGCTTGAGGGCAGCATCCCAACAGGTGCTCTCCCCGCCCCCCAAACACTCACCTGCCTTGCTGAGCCCTGGCTCTCTGCCCCAAAGCTCCCACCGTGCATTCTGGCCGGTCATAGACTGTAAGCTCCGCGTGACCAGGAGCCCCATGTCTGGGCCGACTCTACGGGCAATGGGAGCTTATGAAAGTAACAGGATGGCAGGCAGTGTGACTGGCCACAGTGGGTAGCATCTCGTCCCCCTCAGAAAATGTCTGCTGGAGTCCTAACCTTGGTACCTGTGAGTGTGGCCTGTATTTGAAGAAAGGGGACTTTGCAGATGTGATCACATTAAGATGAGATCATACTGGACTAGAGTGGGTGCTAATCCAGTGACTGGTGTCCTTAATAAGCTGAGGGACATTGGGACATAGACACAGAGAGGAGAACGCCACACGGTGACAGGCACAGAGAGGGGTGCGTGCACGCACCAAGGGACAACAGCTAGAGCAGCCGCCAGAAACCAGGAGGAAGGCGGGCAGTGGTTCTGACCGCAGCACCTCCAAAAGGAAGCAAGTGTTGGCACCTTGGTTCCAGACTTCTGGCCTCTAGAACTTTGAGGCAATACATTTCTGTGGTAGTGTAAGTCACTCGCTTTGTGACACATCGCTATGGCAGCCCTGGACACTAATGCAGTGGCAGTGAGGGTGAGCGGTCCAGCTGGCCACTTCGGCCAAGGCTTCTTCCTTTGAGACCCCCAAGTCCTCTTCCCCCAGCCTCGGCCCCAGGCAGGCTTGCCACTGTCCCCTCCCCAGAGGACTGCACCAGCCCCTCCCCAGCCTCCTCGGCTCAGGCTTGTCCCCTCCATCTGTTCCCCGCTTAGCAAGCAGGGGAATCTTTCCAACTCCCAA